ACTGTTGTAGACTGTTGCAGACTCTATTACTACTATAGACTGTTGCATACTATTTTATTACTATAGACTGCTGTAGACTGTTGCAGACTCTTTTTCCTGCTATAGTCTGTAGACTGTTGCAGACTGTTGCAGACTGTTTTACTACTATAGACTGTTGCAGACTCTTTTACTGCTATAGTCTGTTACAGACTGCTGTAGACTGTTTTAGCTCCACGTAGACTGTCACAGGTTGTCACGACGAGCGAACTGGGAATGAAATTGATTGTGTTGTTGTGTGAATGCCTTCTCACAGAGATCCACTTTTTCTTCCGTACATTTTTCGGCATCCAGCTACTCCCACAGTTTTTGTGGTATTTCAACAAATCGTATATCAAAATGTTCAGCTGTTTCAGGACATGACTGCTATGACCTTTGGTATTGGTGCAACTTTAGCTTTTTGAGATATTTAGTCTTTTGTGCCATTTTTGCTCTCATTGAAAATGAATGGAGCTCATTTGACATCTTTCATAACGTTTAATGTTTACAACCTTTTCCTACTAATTTCACATTTAGATCTGATTAAACTTCTTTCAGCTTCCTTGTGCAAATTTCTGGAAAAAAATCAGCTAGTTCAGCTAATTTCAGCTTTTTTTTCAGCTGTTTTGTGCTCCTTTCAACGTCATTCAGCTAACTTCAAGAGTGTTATGCTTTTTCAAACTTATTTCAAATAATTTCAGCTTGTTGCACGCCTTTCAGCTTATTTCTGTAGGTTTCAGCTAATTCTGCTATTTCAGCTAGCATTTAGCTTTTTTTATGCTAATTTCATCTTGATCAGCTAAATCCACATTTTTTGCAATCATTTAACTTTTTTCAGCCTAATTCAGCAAAAACAGGCTCCCTTGACTTCCTGCTAGTAATTTGAGCTTCTTTCTGCTTGTTTTAGCTAGTATTCAGCTGTTTTTGGCAAATTATAGCATTTCTCAGATAATTTCAACTTTATTGTGCTAATTTCTGCCTTTTTCAGCTCTAGTGGGCACAGTTAAGCTCCTTACGCTTCCCTTTGTAAATTTAAGCTTCTTTCTAAATTTATTTAGCTACTATTCAGCTGTTTTATAGAAAACCTAGGGTAACACTGCCATTTTTTAGAGCTATTCAGCTGAAATTTGGTACAGTGGTAGCTGAGAGCAAACCCAAACACAAAGTACTGTCAGATGAAGAGGTGCCGATGCAACAGTCCGTTACGATAGGAACAGTTGTGCACGTTCTGCTTCTTTCTGCTGTTTAAGCTGCTGTTCCACTGCTTTCTTGTCATTCGTAGGCAAGAGGCATCCACACGTGCATTTTCACAGGAAATGCAAATTCTCTAGTTGGTTGTGTGTTCCCTTTGAAAAGAAGAAAACTAGTTTGATTCTTGCAGCCGTTAAACAAACGTGTCTGTCTTGGCCTCCGTTTTGTTTTTACAGTTTGGGAACGAGCCTCCTGAGTCGTCTGTTCCGAGGACAAAAAGACCCAGAGTCATGTCCAGTGGGTGCGACAGCATCATCCTGGAGTGCCGCAGCATCCGGATCGGAACTCTGCGCCGGATTGTGAAGAAGCCCGTCGTCGTGAGTCCTTCAAACTGAAGCGCTGAGGCCGAAATGTGAAGCGATTTCTGAACGTCCTTTTTCTTTTTCAGTTTTCTGTTGATCACATCCAGCTGGAAACTGAAGGTATGACCCAGATCGGTGCCTGCAGCTTCATGATCGTACAGACCTGCACACAGTTTAGTCTCTGAGGCAGCTGCAGGAGCAACAGGAAGTCTGTCTTCAGCGCAGGAAGTTGGAGGCAGCTTCTGGGTGTAGAACCCTTCATGCTGTCGGTGTTTTCAGTCTGTAGACCCGCGCAGCTTCCTGACCCGGGTGATGACCGGATCTCCTCAGACCAGTTCTCTGTGCTTTCAGGCCTGGAGAGCGGCAGCATCGAGAAGATCTGTCTTCAGACGTCAGAGCTGATCAGCTGCGAGTGGTGCAGCGTCCGCAAACTTCCCGTCTTGTTCTTCCAAACTACCGTGGCCGAGTGCGTCCGCCTGCGCTCGCAGCTCAGCATGTCGAGGGAGGAGGGCGGCCAGTGGTACGACTGCACGGAGAGCCGTGAGTGAGCCGAGCCCCCAGCAGCCCACACACCGCAGGAGGAGGACAAACAGGAGTTCCTGTGGCGGCTGGAGGACGTTTGGTCTTAGTGTTCTCCAGGTCTGGTTTAGTCAGGTTGGGTTGTTGGACTCCAGGAAGGTTCTCAGGTAAAAACGAGTCCAACCAACAGGAACTTTCTAACAGATGGAGCTTATTGTCACAATAAAAAGTAAGAGCTGTATTCACAGAAATATTTAGAATTTTAACACACAGACATGATCAAACTACGGAGTGATCTGCTGGCGTCACGACACAGTAGAACCTGAAAGAGTGAGAAGTTAGAAGGAGACCAACGTGTCAGAACTTTGTCGCAGCAGCTCAGTTTTTGACTGAAGTCCACACTGTCCAGGTTGTTGTGGTCGGCAGGTTTAACCGTGTGTCTGCTTGTGTTGGGTGGCAGCAGAGATGGATGAGAAGTACATCGTTCTGATCCTGGAGAACGGCCTGGTGATGAAGGAGCAGGTGATTCTGGAGGACATCCTGCACGCCATCGGCAGAACCAACAACCTGAGCACGTTCCCCACCAAGCTGACCTTCGACGAGGCCAACATCCGCCTGGTCAACTACAACAAGGCGTCCTCACAGAAGTGGGAGAAGGTTGGTGGAATGGGTGGAGACCAGAACCTCCACCGCTGGTCGGTCCTGACCCGTTTCAGACTAAAGTTCAGGCTCTTTGATTGTTAGAAGTTCAAACCCTGACGTAGTTAAAGGCTGTGCACTTGTTGAAGAAACGCCTGCCCCGTCATGACAGCTCATCTCAGCCAGAGTCTTCAGAAGAGGTCAAATCTAGAAAATGACCTCGTGCACATGTTCACAGGATGCCGAGCTGTCTGTGGCACTCGGAGTGTGTGCTGGGAATGACTCTCAGCTACCAACTCAACAAGCGGTGCCTGTAAAACTGACCGACTTAGAGACGTCTTCCTGCTCGAGGTTCTTTGTTTCATCACGTGTGGTGCACGAGGTGGAACCAAGTGCTGCACTCAGGCTCACAGCTACACCCAACTACAGCAAAAACATCAAGTATGAAGACTAACGGTGCACAGTAGTCCCTCGCTACTTCGCGGTTTGGTTTTCGCGGACTCGCTGTAATGTGTTTTTTCAAAATAAGAGTGGACACGACAGACAGCTGACTGATGGATGGATGAGCCGCACGATGGGCATGAACTTTTTATTTAAAATGAATAAAAGAGTTCAGCATGTCATGATCTCAGCTCTCTGCCTCTGCTGCACTCTGCCAAGGCTCTTGGCCACGCCCACTTCTCTGCTGCAGAGCAGAGATCAGCTGATCAGCTGCAGGAGGAAGCTCCTGAGCTGTGGGCTACACAAATGTGTAGTAATAATGTAAAAATAATTCATTTCAAATCAAAAGTTCATGCCCATCGTGCGGCTCATCCATCAATCAGCCAATTATGTGTCATGTACACTCTTATTTTGAAAAACCACGTTACAGCGAGTCCACGAAAACCAAACGGCGACGTAGCGAGGGACTACTGTACTCGTTTATAACTGCTGTTTGAAACAAGTTAACTGTTTGCTCTGCTAATGCTAGCCCTGTTAGCTAACAGGTTAGCTCAGTGACTGTCGGTTAACCTGCGACTGTTTCTGTGGTTTGTTGTTTTCTTGTTAACTTAGTTTTTCTTTGTCACTTTAGTTTTTCCACTTAGCTTCACTTTCTGTCTTCCAGGAAACATTTGGTCTGTTAGCCTGAGCAGACTGGTTTTCAATTCAGCTCAGTTTATTCATAAAGCACCAGTTCACAACAAGTTGTCTCAGGGACTTTACAGGAACATTCACATAAAAGCCAGTTAGTAAAGTTCTCTATCTGAGGAATCCAGCAGACAAGATGAATCTTGGCTTCGTTGCAGTCTCCCATCCTGAGCAAGCACAGTGGAGACAGTGGAAAGAAAAACTCCCTTTAACAGGAAGAAACCTCCAGCAGAACCAGCTCAGGACAAGAGACCATCTGCTTTGACCGGCTGGTTGAGAGGACAGGAAGGAGAGACAGACCAACACAGAATGGTAGGTCCAGATATAGGTCCAGGTATAGGTCCAGATATAGGTCCAGGTCCAGGTATAGGTCCAGGTCCAGGTATAGGTCCAGGTCCAGGTATAGGTCCAGATATAGGTCCAGGTATAGGTCCAGGTATAGGTCCAGGTATAGGTCCAGGTCCAGGTATAGGTCCAGGTTCAGGTCCAGATATATGTCCAGGTCCAGATATATGTCCAGGTCCAGATATAGTTCCAGGTCCAGGTATAGGTCCAGGTCCAGATATATGTCCAGGTCCAGGTATAGGTCCAGGTCCAGATATATGTCCAGGTCCAGATATAGTTCCAGGTCCAGGTATAGGTCCAGGTCCAGATATATGTCCAGATATAGTTCCAGGTCCAGATATAGGTCCAGGTGTACCTGAAAGACAAAAACATGTTAAGGATAGAAAAAATAATTACAAATACAAAACAGGTTGAGCAGAGTAAGTAGAGACAGAAGTAGAGTGAAGTGTGGTCAGTTTGTCCTCCAGCAGTCTAAGCCTATAGCAGCAGAACTAAGGGACAGCTCAGGAAACCCAAGCCGACCCTAACTATAGGATTTATCAAAAAGGAAAGTCTTAATCCCAGTCTTAAAACTGGACAATGTGTCAGTCTCACGGACAGAAACTGGAAGTTGGTTCCACAAGAGAGGAGCCTGAGAACTGAAAGATCTTTGTCCCATTTTGTTTTTGTAAACTCTAGGAACCACAAGTAAACCTGCAGTCTGAGAGTGAAGTGCTCTGTTAGGAACGGGAACCGTTGGAAGATCAGACTGAGTTGGTAGCTTGTTCAGCTGTTTCTCTCTGAAGCTAACTCTGCGTCGGCTGATGTTTTTGATGCTCGGTGCTAACGATGACCGTGCTGCTGCCGTGTCAGCTTTGGTAGATGTTTGAATCAGATCCTTCTCTCTGACCTGAGCTACGGGATGATTCTGTGCTGCCTTTGTCTTATTTCACAGCTTGTACGAGACCGTTAATGTTTGTTGTAAGCTCTTGATCGGCTCTAAACTTTGCATTTCTTTGTCTTTCTGCTTTGCAGGCGAAGCCAGCTCAAAGTCCCCCGAAGGTTTCTCCTGCCTGCGTGCCGACACGCACACGGATGGCCACCCGGCAGCAGACCAGCACGTTCTTCGATGAGGAGGACGAGGACATGACCGACCTCCAGCCCACCTTCTCTGGACCAGTTGTGAAGTGAGTGTTTGCTGCCACTTTCATTCAGTCGAGCTTTATTTCTACAGGTTGGTGTCATTGAGCCTCGGGACTCATTTACAGACAGATGACAACACTAGACAATCATTACAAAGCTGCTAAATTGAAAAATAAATGGAAGAAAATGAAATTAAAAAGAAAAATGAAACGATAACAGCTAGGTTGTAAAGAGAAATGGTAAAAACAGGAACATCTGCGTTGGGTCTTCCAGGAACTTATCAGATATTTGAAGCCACTTAGAGAGGTCAAAGGTCGAGAGCTTCAGATGTTTTTACAAGATATTCCAGGAAACAGGAGCGGAGTAGGAGAAGGTCCTTTTGTCTAGTTCAGTCCTCA